ACCCTTATCAGAATTTTCATAACCTGGTTTGCAAAATTAAGAAAACTTCTTAAATATCATAATCTGTTATTACGTTTAAGAACAACTGAAAATGTTATTAAATTTAAGAGACATTTTGGTCTTAAATTTCAGAATATTTTTTACAGTGTGGCAAATCGTTCAAAAACTACCCCCACGTTCAACCTGCCCTGTCTCCGAACTGAGGGGGGGTGGCAACCCCACCTTAAGCGTCCCACATCGGCCCAACCTTCATCTCGAAGGCCGCAGAGTCGTGGGCCCCTGCGCTGACGTTCGCGTCCGTGAGACCGATGTGAAGACGGTACTGCACTCGTGGACTGGGGCGCGCCGCGGCTGGACCAACACTTGCACGAGTCAAAAATGGCACCAACAACCGCAAAATCACGCCCCAACGCGAAATTTCAAGTGCAGAGTGAAATGTGCGTGCCTGGGGTCCATATGCCTACCGAAAAATTGACGTTCCCTTTCTTTTGATGCTCTGCAGATCAGTCACGTGTGTCCGCTTTGGCAACTGATCAAGTGCAATGCGGTCTTCACATCGGTCTCACAGACGGGAACGTCCAAAATGTACGAAAACGATACGGGCCTCCGGCCCGTCAACTTCCCGTCACTTTGACTAAGCATGCGGGCTTGTACACTATTTTACCTTTTCTATACTTACGTCAGCTGTGGCGAGCAGCGGCAGAATGTAGGCCGAAAGCAAGATGTGTGGGAGCACGTCGGCGAACGCCTCCTCCGAGCCGCGGGCGGCCCGCACCACCTGACTCTGCAGCGCCGTCCACGGCACGCAGTCGCCCCTCTGCAATTTCATTCAATGGCTCCAACAGATAAGGGGATTGTCTCAGCCAATTGGAAACTGGGTGCAACTTGTAGCTAAAAACTTGGTTTGCAACCGAAAATTTCTGCGATGTAGCTTGAAATATGCTAGTTGTGGAGTAAACACGTTTTACTTGTACCTGATTTTGAAGTGAAAAAATGTTTAACCTCTCGCCAATCCGATGGTTTCCGGTGAACTCTGTCATGCCTTTCAGAAATTAAGTCACGGTTATAATGGATTCTTTAGTTTAGTCGCAGCTGCGATTGTTCTACCCTCTTGAAACTTTATGGTGGACCAATGTGCCCAATGGTCCAATGTGCCCCACTCTCCCCTACTCACGTTACTCGTTACTCATTGTTCACCCATGCGATTTCAAAGTTGAGTAAAGTACTATACCTCGACACCGCGGTTGATCTGCCCCTGCACAGTTATGAGGGACCGCGTCACGGTCGACACCAAGCTGATTGTCAAGAACAAGCCAATGCATCCAATGTACGCGTTGTATTCGAAGATGGGCATCTGGATGTAGCCAATGGCCCCAACCACCTGACGCCAGGTGCTGCCAGGATCACCAGCACCTAGGCGAAAAAAAGGCTTCGTCAATTAGGTAAACTGGGAGGTAAAACGTAAACAACTAATTGATGGGCGCACTTTTAATTAGTCATTGCAAACCCTTTTGTGAATACTTAGTTCACACAGGCGATAAATCGACTTGCAAGCACACGCATACAACAAGGGCGTCCGTATACTCGCTCAACAACCAGTGTGTTCCTTGCGGTTTGCGTTGCCTACTTAACTTAATGGACCATACATTCGCGACAGTTCTTGTTGGCTGAGCAATAAGCGAAGCCCATTACTCAAATGATGATGAAAAAGTTTCGCGTCTGTCTGTTTGTCTGTCATCACGATAACTCGAGAAGGAATTGAGGTAGCGACCTTGGATTTTCAGGGTCGTTTTGTGTCATAACAAGACAGATCGAGTTCGAAAAAGAGCATTCTAGCTCAAAAGTTGTATTTAAAAAAAAATCGAAAACCACAGGTCTCACAAGTTTTTTAAAAATATTTATTTATGGTTTCCTATGGGTAACTCATAAAAGTAGAACCCTTTGGGCGAAAATTTTGTGCGTTCGGCTCTATCTTAACCGTTTGGGCGCCAGAGGGAGTTTTTGACGAAAATAAGCGAAAAAGCGTACGACCCTCTTAGTCGAAGTGACAGGAAGTTGACGGGCCGGAGGCCCGTATCCTTGTGTACATTTTTACACTACCCGACTTGGGTGTCAGCGCCGCACTTCTAGGTAGATGTATGTATGCCAGGCGCGTCGCAGCGTTACAGTGTTTCGTGACACATCGCGAAGCCTGTCACACGAGACGTGGTCTGGCGTTCATCTACCTAGTTTTTAAATCGGGCGGCACAACCATCAGACGTGTATAAACTTTGGTGAGTTCTATTTGTGAGGTTTCTCTGAAGTAAAGAATAATCTTTCCCATAAGCAAACTGAACTTCTACTGTACTATGATTAAGAAGATCAAAAATTATAAAAAGTGACTCATCCTATCCTAAAATATATGTTGGTGCAGTGGTGGTTTAAATGCTGTGCTGTGTGCTGGAAGAGTAATTGCAAATTAAAAATTAATTACTCACTGTTAAAAATTTTGGGGAGATTTTACAGAAAAAGTCTAGGTATACTTAGTGCCAAGTCAAAGTCTGGTAAAATTACCACAGTCTGTAAAATTACAGACACTTGTAAAAATAACTCCACAAAATTTCTGTAAAAGTAAAACCAAAAATTTCTGTAAATATTTTTACGAATGTTTCCTGTAATTTTTACCCACACTATTCTGAGGTAATATATGCAAGAAAAAAATATTTTTGGCGACTGTTTTCTTGTTCCATATATTTCATAATGAACCGCCGACCGGCTTCGTCGGTGAAAGTGCTGGAACCTTTAAACTCTTGGTGGGATCGAACCCCCGACCTCGTGGTCGTAAGCCCGATGCCTTGACCATTGCGCTACGGCGCGCTCCGTGCAGGTAGCCTGTCTGTACTCCATATCTTGCTTCCTACTATCCACGCGACTTTTCCTACGGTTAACTGCCCTCTCTCCTGATGTTGGTGAGTGATATCCACAAAATCAGGGTTCTTTCGCTGTTCGCTGTTTGAATGCACTAGCGTTCAACATTGAACACATTTTGTGGCCAATTTTAACCCTACTTCTTATTTGTTAGAAAAATTACAGAAAGTATCCGTAAAACTACAAAACAGAGTATCTGTAACTTTACTAACACATGTAAAATTACCGGAGCATATGGGGATTTTTACAGACGATTGTAATGTTACATTAGTTTTTCGTGAAAAAGACCTACAATCTGTAATTTTTCAGGAACTTTTAATTTTATCATAGTATTTCGGTAAAACTAACATGTTCTGTAAAATTACACTACAAAATCTGTACAAGATTACACGAATTATCGGTAAAATCACCAATATTTTTACAGTGTACTTCTTGAAGAGTTTCTATTTCCTTCTTGTGGAAATTTGACTGTTCTTTAGCTATAAAATCATGTGGAATCAAGTGTTTCGTTTGTACTATAAACTATAAATCCATCAGATGCCTAGTTCTTTTGATTAGGAAATAAAACTTTTCGGAACTCTCAAATGGCCTGTTTGCTGAGAATCACCGAATGGCTCTGCCTTGCTTTTTCTGGATTTAGTTTACATTTTTTTTCTATTTTGTACAACTTTCCGTATTTCTTTTCAGATGTGATATGAATTTATGCTTGCTTTCTGTCGTCGATTAACTTTGCTGCGATGTGGACTTCTAGTTTTCCTTTGCGTTTCAATTTTGTTTCTTGTGGAGCTTATCTTTATTGGATGCCCCTTATTTATTTAATGACTGTGTTTCAATTTCTTCTATGGACTCCATCCCTTTATGGAATTCTAGTTTTTAATTCCTTGTTTCAATTTTCTAGATTCTCCTATATGGACTGCGTCCTTCTACTTTTTTCACTGAGAATAACTCTGACCGTTGTCTTATGCTCTTAAAAATCAGACACTGACCCAGAAGAGGTAGAATTTGCTTCCTGAATCAGACTCTGTGGAGTGATTATAAGGACCACATCGTCTTCCTGGCCAAAATGTCCCTCAAATATACCGAATAATAAAATACAGTTTTAACGGTGGGGGAGTGGGGTGGTACTTCACAAAATGTAAATTGGGGTACTATCAGCTCAGAAAGAATTGAACCCCACTGACATCCATATTCCAAGCAAAAATGGTTTACGTATTTCTGTTCTGGTAGTACACCAGACCT